CAGTGGAGCAAACGAATGATCCAACCGCAACGCCTCGAGACCAAATCCCTCTCTGACACGGTTCAGTGCTCCAAACATTAAAAGATCCAAAGCCAAGAATCATCTCGCCGGTTTCACAGCTCTCTGTAAGATCCTCTCTCACACATCTCACGTCTTCAACCTCAGGCTCATCTGCTTCCTCTGTGACAATAACTCCCACGGCTCTGTAACCAGCAGGAGGATTAGGCAGCCAGAAGTAGCAATCTGAATCTGACGAACTCCAAAGTAAAGTATAGTTCACGGGTTTTTGCAGCGGAGGGAGATGATCATCCGCATGATGGTCGGGATCGTTAGCACGAGCTGCAAGAACAAAGCCTCTTAATGGCTGATTGTTTGGCTGACAGTAATGACCAAGGCAATGGAAGCCTTCTGGTATCCCCACAGGTTTGTAGAAAGAGGCACATCTCGATTTACCACGCGACGACGTGCCACATTTCCAAACTCTATCGAACTCTGTGACTTTCACCACTTCGATCTCTCCGAGGTTTATCCTTCCGGTACCAAAACCTGTGCCTGAAACAGAGACTAACCATCATTATAGCCAAAGATTCCAATGCTGATTCAAATCAAATTCAGATAACTTGACAGCATTCTATAGCATAATTTCAAATAATCATCATCAACCATTACATGTCTTTGTTATCCAAGTGGTTGTTGGGGACCTTGAGACATAAAATAATTAGAGAGTCGAAACATGTCTCAACAACTATAATAGATTAATAAGCATACCTTAATAATCTTCATAGTGGCTACTGCTACATTAATAAATAAATACAGGACTCGTTTTTAATGATCATACATTATTGAAGCTCACAAAAAACCTACCTTCTAGCAAAACATGTGAAGATTATGGGGTGGGTTTTAATTCGCATAAAAGTCAGTAACTGATGTTGATCCGTACATGTTTTTTCTTCAGTTCTATTAATATTTTTGGTCCAAATAACTTTGACCATGAAACAAAATGTCAAAGAAAGAGCCAGTAAAATGACATGTAGCCACCATGTTGAAACATTCCTACGAATTTTCAGCCAAGGAAAAGTCAAACTTTAATTAAGCCATAATACTGAATGTCATGATGATACGAAAACATTAAACATAATCTTGAGGCATAGCTAATCAAAATCAATAATCTTATGAACAAAAGCTAACTCACGAATTTATATAGCACAGGATTTAATAAGAAAACTGAAATAACGAATAATCTAAGGAGCACAATAACAAATATGTATCCGGTAACATGATGCCATTTGGATCTTTGACGCAATAAATGAGCTTAAGTTTGATTGATTTCTGAATTACAAATAAAAATGGCAGCCTAAAACAAAATTCTGCATGGTAAAAAGGTAAAAATTGCGTAATTATATAAAACGAAATTGCAATTTCCAAGAAAGGATAATTCTTTACCTTGTGGCCATCGAGGAAGAGGAGACGGAAGCGAGAATGGCTTTGACTCGGACGATTCCGATTCCAACTCGGATATTCCTTGGTTCCAATAGAAGCAATCGCAAAACATCGTACGGAGGCCGAGTTTGATTTCAAGTTTTCAAGAATCAGATTCTCCGATTCTTTTGCCTAAATGAAAGAACAAATCGGCGATTGTTTCTCTGGCGACTGAGGAGAACACCACCACTTCTGATCAATCTCACGATCACTTCGGAAGAAATTTACAGATCGAAAAATTGTAAAATCAGAGCTTATCCTTTGCAGAATTCGCGGCGAGGAGAGAGAAGAAGGAGGCGTTGAAGCTGTACTTGCGTGTGAGGGAGGGAAGTTCAGTGGTGGACTGGTGGTGGTTTTGGCCTTTTTATTTTCGTGCTTTTTTTCCTTTTACAGATTGATTCCTTTACTTTAAACGTTTTCAATAAAGGCCCATGTATTTATAAATAATTCAAATATTCTCCCCAACAAAACCAAATACCAACCGCAGATTATTTATACTTGTAGTCATCTCGAATGGCCATAATAAATCATCTTCGAATAGCATACATTAATTATGAAAAGAACACCGATTAACAAGAAGTCTTTCAGAATTTGATAGATTGTTTATAAAATATTCCGGGAATATACTAAAAGTTTTTGTATTTCTTCTATTTGTTTGCTTATACACAAAGAACAGTAATTGCTTACAAGTTTCACATAGTAGGGCTGGGCAAATTATCCGTTATATTTGATTCGATCCGCTATTTACTTCGATTCGATTCGAAAAATCCGGATATCCGTAGTTTTACGGAGCAAAGCAAATATTAAATTTTGATATCCGTTAAAAATGGAGCAAATCACAAATATTAAAATTTTAAGAGTCGGATATCCGATCCGCTCCGATATACATATATATGTGTATATATATAAATAATTACATATATAATGTATAGTTAATATAATTATATATAAATTTTTGTGAATTTATATTTATTTTATTAGTTATTTTAATACAAAAATTAAATAAAATTAAAAATAACAATTTAAAATTTAATATATGAGTTAATTTTTGACTTTTTAATTATTTTTATAAATATTTTTAATTATTTTATAATTAATTTAATATTTTTGAAACGGATTGGATATCCAGTCAAAAATCCGGATTTTAACGGATATCCGAATACCAGATATCCGATTAGCAACAGATCAAATACGGATCAGAAAATTGTTGATCCGGACTGGACATAATGGATCACAGATATCACTAAAATTTCGGATATCTGTTCCGTGCCCAAACCTATCACATAGTGCGGGTTGGATTGCATTTTTAATTTTTTTTTTTTTTTCCTGTCTTAGTGTGTTTTTGGCAAGTTCCACCACTTTTTTTTCACACAATTAAAATTAGACATATTAAATGCCATTTCCCTTTACTATACTATTCAGCAGTTATAAAACTCAGATTAAGCAGAAATTATATAATTTCATTACAAATTGATAAACAAAAGACCGAAACAAAAATCAAACCATTAATCATAGTTTACATATGGATTATTTTTATGAATTCAGAAAAACTTATTATATTTTTGGATTTTAATATAAATGTCATATTAATATTACATAATAAACAAAAAAATCATAATTCATTATTAGAACAAAAAAATCCAAATTATTAGTTTTAAAAGAAAAAACTTAATCTTATTTAGAATAGTGATCATAAGTTTGAAAAGACTAGTTTATTTTGGAAAAAAAATATGACACAAAAATATGAATTAAACTTTTGATTTTAAAATTTTATTCAAACGCTGTTACAATCGGTCTATAGATTCAAACAAATTCTATTCTAATTTATAATTCAAACAAATTCTAATCATAGTTCAAACAATATTACAATCAGCTTACAAATTCAAACATACTCTCGATTCTAAATTATAGCGATCGATCTACAAGCGAATGTATAATCATGTACTGCTTTGTCATACTCAGCGAGAATCCAAGTTAATTATATATGATTCCTGCATGTGCTCTTGTTATGTTCTCCTATACCATATCTGCTACACTTGTGTGCTTGAAACTTAGAGTTAGGCACCCCAAATTCTCCAGCAACTCTCTTCCTCTTCTTCGGATGATTTCTACTGCTTTGCTTGGTGTTTGGCGGACAACAGAGATGATCCATCAGGGAAATAACACATCGATAGATCGCCACAAGGATGTATGCTCTCAGTATAAGCTTTAGCACATGTTTCTTTTGTGTAGAAATCATCCACAAGCTTGTATACATCCTTCATTGTGCGTTTAGCAGCAGCTATAGCGTATTCGGTGGGAATCCTGTTTATGTCGAAGATGTTTCAACTGCAATGTTTGTTCTTCGAATGGACTACATACTTGTGGAAATAGTCTTTGACCTCAAACTCATATTCATCAACTTAATAAACATTAAAAACCATTGCTTCATCGTACAAACGTTTGATTCTAAGTTCTAGTGATTGATCTACAAGAAACTCACATTGTTTAGAAGTGTGTTTCTTTTTTTTGGTGGTCGTAGACGATTATGTTCCATGAATTCAAAAAAATTGTTTGGACAAAAGAGAAAAATTATGATATAGAAAAAAATAGTAAAAAAGAAAATAATGATTTTTTGAATTTAAGTCGTTTAAGAGCATCTCCATCAATCAATAATATTCTAATAAAGACTAACTGATTAAACTAGTAAAGAATTGACATCAAACTTGATAATCAAACATTACCCAAAACATTCCATTATCATTAAGATAAATGATGTGATTGGTTAGCGCTGTAGCTTTAATTTTTTACTGGAGAAATAAAATTGTAACTTTTTTGTTGTGGCGATAGATTTTAATTCTGTAGATTTTAGTGATATAAGATTTTTTAATTTTCAAAGTTAAAATTTTTTGTTTTATATATTTTGCTTTATACAGCTAAAAAAATTTAAAAAAATAAAGATCTGTAACTTTAAAAAATCTGTATAAAGCATGATTGAAAAAAATTTTGTATTTTCAAAAAATTATGGCTGTATATACTTACCAATCAAGCCCAAAACAATTTTTTTTGGTTCATAATATCACTAGGAAAATTTAAATGTCGTTTTCAACAATTTATCGTGGAGATTGATTAAATAATTCTTCAACATAAATCGAGCCGCCGAATTAGACTGAGCATTCCATCTTCTTCAGCTTGAACTTTATAACATTAATCCGTATGTTATTTTCGAAAACTAATTAATTTGACGCTACTTTTGAATTTGATATATGAAATTAGGTATCAGCTTATTTAAGTAACATTCAAAATAATACCACATGCTTTAGGTTAGGTATATGTTTCTTTATAAATGTTGTTTTCTTATACATTTAGTAAGTAGTAGTATACTAGTATTATGCATTATAAATTCTTTTTATCTACTTTTTTGCTTTCATTATTTATTTTGACTTTCTTTTTATCCATAAACTTCAATGAGATAAATTACTTACACAATTGAAGGGAAGACAAAACATAAGACGTTTTTCTACATTGGTAAATAAATGGCATTAAATTCACATTTATTTATAATCAGACAGACCCAAAAGACACACACCCTCGTTCAACAATTTAAGACCAAAAGAGCTTAAGATTGTTTTGTCAACGAGTAAATTAGATTTAGTTTGACATTCCATCAGTTACAGTCTGTCACTTAGGTAGGAGTAACCATTTTTTACTTTTGAGAATGAGTAAAAAGTCTTTGTCCATCACAAATCCAAAAAAGTCTTCACCTTGTTCGTCTTCGTCGGTCGTCACTTTTGCAAGCTAATAAAAGCCAGAATAAATAATTGGATAAAATTATTTTTTAGTTACTGTTTATCTATTTTATATTTTTTCTGGAACACAGCTACAAGGTAAAGCTTCAATCTTTCCCACTGACATTTTCTGGTCTTCGATTCTTTTTTTTTTTTCACTGCTTGGGTCTTGTCTGTAGGTTAGAGAGATCCCTACAAAGATCCAAAGCTGAGAAATTTCCAGTCAATGCTGCTTGAGATCTGACCTCTTTTCCTTCAATGTCGCTCTGAAATCCCCTAAATTTCGCCCATCAGGTTTGTTTCTCTCACTTGAGAACCCTAGTTCTAACTGTAAGTTCTCTGAGTTTTCGATTCTAGAGTTTTTCTTTGGTCTTCTTTGATCTGCTAAGCCGTGTTTATCAGACAATGCGACGGATTTCTGACTTTCTGATAGCTTCTATTGTCGGTAGTGAGTTTTCTAGATTAGCTGCTGGATTTTTCCTTTTTTTGTTTCACCTGTAGTTTTCTCTCCAGCTTAATGTTTAGCTGGCGTTTGGTCTGAGAACTGAAAAATCTGGCAGCTGGCAATTCTTGGGACTTAGGCACAATGCTTGTTGTATGAATCTGATTTTTTCCTCAGTCTCTGTTCGGTTTCTTGTCTTTTTGCTTGTTCCTCCTCTCCAATTTGAACTCTGAATATTGGATATGTTTCCCTTTTTTGGTATAAGCTTTGAGTTTTGCGGGTTTTAAACACTTTGATTCATTCAGGTCTAGACATATTATTATTTCTTTTGATTGGCTCATTTTTGTTTATTCAGCAAAATATTATGTTTACAAAAGATCTTTTTGAGTGTCTTTGAGTTCTGAATTCTTCAGTTTTACCCTCGTCTTTTTTGCTTTTCAGGTGAATAAAGCGGAGGTAGAAAGATGGGATCTGGTTTAAACGACACATTATCTCGGAATTACGGTGGCTTGGAGCTATGGGAGATAATAGTGATTGCTCTCTCGGCGGTCTTCGTCGTAGTGTTAGCTATATCGCTATGGCTTACTTTCAGAAAGAAAAAATCAAGATCATCTTCTAATCAACTCCCTGTTAGCCGCCAGATTCCTCCTAGTGTTCCTGAAGAGATCAAAGAGATTAGAGTCGACGAGGTTTCCTCAAGCAATGGCGGCAATGGATATCCCTCTATTAGTGAGAAATTCGGTGATAAAGAACCCGAGAAAGGGATAGTAGTAGCAGAGTCAGAGAATGGTGATAGTAGCCGTTCAGGCTCGTTTAACCACTTGGAGAAGAAAGATGGATCGAGCGTATCTTCTGCTAATCCCTTGACAGCACCATCTCCTTTGTCTGGTCTTCCCGAGTTCTCTCACCTCGGATGGGGACACTGGTTCACTCTTAGAGATCTTCAGATGGCTACGAGTCAGTTCTCGAGGGATAACATAATCGGTGATGGCGGATACGGAGTTGTTTACCGTGGTAACCTTGTGAATGGTACTCCTGTTGCCGTTAAAAAGCTGCTCAACAATCTGTAAGTTGATGCTTAATATTCAAGATTCAAGATTTCATTTGTTCAAAAACTCTTTTTGGTAATGGTGATGTTTTTTTGTATTTGTAGAGGACAAGCTGACAAGGACTTCAGGGTAGAAGTTGAGGCTATAGGTCACGTTCGCCACAAGAACTTGGTTCGTCTTCTCGGATATTGCATGGAAGGAACGCAAAGGTATGTATATGATGTTCTGCTGTAAGTAAAAATGATGTATAGATTCTCTTCTTGAAGTTCACTAAACATATGATGTGGTAACACTTTGATCAGGATGCTGGTGTATGAGTATGTGAACAATGGGAATCTGGAGCAATGGCTTCGTGGAGACAATCAAAATCACGAGTATCTAACATGGGAGGCACGTTTGAAAATCCTTATCGGAACAGCCAAAGCGTAAGTCTTTATGGTTTCTTTTTCTTTTGTTCTTTTCTCGATCATTATGTTTCGGTTATATCCTCATCTGATCCAGTGTGATGCAGGCTTGCGTACCTTCACGAGGCGATTGAGCCAAAAGTGGTGCACAGAGACATTAAGTCAAGCAACATCCTGATTGATGACAAATTCAATTCTAAGATATCTGACTTTGGACTTGCGAAACTGCTTGGCGCTGATAAAAGCTTTATAACTACTAGAGTTATGGGCACCTTTGGGTAAGCTGTGTTGCTTCTGTCTTTACACTTTCTGCATTATAAAGTTGAATGTTGTTGCTCTTGGGAGATAACTTGTTTATTGCGTTTTCAGGTATGTAGCTCCCGAGTATGCTAATTCGGGTCTTCTGAACGAGAAAAGTGATGTCTACAGCTTTGGAGTTGTACTCTTGGAAGCTATAACTGGTAGATATCCAGTAGACTATGCTCGCCCACCTCCCGAGGTAAAGTCTCTAACTTAATTCCTTTAGAAACCTTTAAAACACACATAACCTCAAGATAGTTTTGGCTGACATTTTTGTTTTCTTCACTTGGTAGGTACATTTGGTGGAATGGCTGAAGATGATGGTTCAACAAAGACGATCAGAAGAAGTGATTGACCCAAACCTCGACTCAAAGCCATCTACAAGTGCGTTAAAAAGAACACTCTTGACTGCTTTGAGATGTGTTGATCCAATGTCTGAGAAACGACCACGGATGAGCCAAGTTGCCCGTATGCTTGAATCCGAGGAATACCCAATTCCTAGAGAGGTATGTATGATTGAAGAAAGAGAAAAAATTACGACTTTCAAAACTGCCTCTTAATGTCTAGTACTATTCTGATGGATGTTTTGTTTGTTGAGTTTGGTTGCTAAAAGCTTTTACAAAATTTGAGAATTTCAGGATAGAAGAAGACGGAGGAGTCAGAACGGGGCAACAAGAGAGTCAGATCCTCCCAGGAACAGCACAGACACTGACAAGAGTGAGTACCATGACCTAAAGCCTGAAGCTGGATGACATTGGAAATAACGGAGGTGTAAATTGTCGTCAAGTTTTCGAGCTTTATGTGAAGCAAGCCCTTGTTCTTCTCCAGATCTTCTGTGTTATGTGATATTTCTTCTTTTTTTTCTTTGGTAATAAGGAGAGAGAGAGAGAGAGAGAGAGAGAGAGAGAGAGAGAGAGAGAGAGAGAGAGAGAGAGAGAGAGAGAGAGAGAGAGAGAGAGAGAGTGTTCATCGTTTGGTTTTGAGAAAGATGGTTTTAGTTTGTTCCATCACATCATTTGCTTGTATAGTAAGTAGTGTTCGTTTGTTTGTTGTGTAATATCGTTTGCTTCTCTACGTTTTGCAATGTAGGTTGTTTTTGAACCAAGAAAACGCCAGCTTTTGTAGGCTATGTTAAGTCTTTGAGCGAAACGACGTGGAGTTTCCTAAGGTTATTCGAGAAGGTCTATCACAAATCCTGATAGCGTGAACGCAAACGGCTAATTATTACGTTTTCATGAAATAATTTGATAAATTTAGTATTTTTGTTAGATGAAATAAATGGGGTTTTGTGAGTATTTTTAATTTCAAAGATGATTAACATTATTTACTTGACAAGTTTTAAGGTTTACCAAACTGAAAAGTCACAGTACTTATATCTAAAATTAAAATTTCAGGCTTGCCAACTAATCTAAGAAAGAAGTATGAAATTACTGAAACTAGAAATGCCATCTCATATTTTTATTGTATGGATATTGTATAATTAAAATGCTGCAGAACAAGGAAAAATAACAGAAAATAATACACTGATGACTCAGATCTGAGATGACTGGAGGCTATAAAAACCGAAAATCAAATTCGCCGACGGTTATTCGATCTACCACGACTTCTCTGTTGATCGACCACGCAATGACGAAAATGCCCTCCACCGTCGTCGTCTTCCTTCTCCTCTCCGCCGCCTTCCTCGCCGTGGTTCCGCCTTCAATGGCGGAGATCAAATCCCTGGTTATCTCCGATGACGCTCGTCCGATGATCCTCTTCGAGAAGTTCGGATTCACACACACCGGTCACGTCACCGTCTCTGTCTCCTCCGTATCCGTCGTCTCCACTTCCTCAGATCCGAATCCGGAGGCATCACATCTCGGATTCTTCCTCCTCTCGGAAGAATCGCTGCTCCAGGTCCTCCTCGAGATCCAGCAGAACCCTGGGTTCTGCGTTCTGAATTCGCACTACGTCACACATCTCTTCACATTCAGAGATCTATCTCCGCCGCCGAATTCCCGATTCAACCAATCCTACCCGGTCACTTCCCCCAACGAGTACTCTCTCTTCTTCGCGAATTGCGTCCCTGAGACCAAGGTCTCCATGGCGGTGCGTACGGAGATGTACAACAAAGATCCGAACGGATCTAAGGACTACTTACCCGCCGGAGCCACCCAGTTACCATCTCTCTACTCCTTCTTCTTCCTCTGCTACGCCGCTTTCCTCGGCTTCTGGAGCTACACCTGCTGGACCAACAAGCGAGTGGTTCATCGGATCCATATCCTCATGGCAGGTCTGCTTCTAATCAAATCCCTGAATCTGATTTGTGCAGCTGAAGACAAACATTACGTGAAGATCACAGGGACGCCTCACGGCTGGGACATCCTCTTCTACATCTTCCAGTTCATCCGTGTCGTTCTGCTCTTCACCGTCATCATCTTGATCGGAACAGGCTGGTCGTTTTTGAAGCCCTTTCTGCAGGAGAAAGAGAAGAACGTGTTGATCATCGTGATCCCACTTCAGGTACTAGCCAACATTGCTTCGATCGTGATTGGTGAAACCGGACCTTTCATCAAGGATTGGGTCACATGGAACCAAGTGTTCTTGCTCGTTGATATCATCTGTTGCTGCGCCATCATCTTCCCAATCGTCTGGTCGATTCGATCCTTGAGAGAAACCTCGAAAACCGATGGTAAAGCCGCGAGAAACTTGTCGAAGCTAACGTTGTTCAGACAGTTCTACATTGTAGTCATCGGGTATCTCTACTTCACAAGAATCGTGGTGTTTGCGCTTAAAACCATCGCGGCTTATAAATACCAGTGGGTGAGTTTTGCAGCAGAGGAGATTGTGAGCCTGGTGTTCTATGTGATCATGTTTTACATGTTTAGGCCTGAGGAGAAGAATGAGTACTTTGCTGTTGATGATGATGAAGAAGAAGCTGCTGCTATAGCGCTTAGGGACGAAGAGTTTGAGCTTTGAGAAGCAAATAATGGAGGATTTTTCTGGGTAAGCAAAGGTCTATTCTTTTATGTTTGTGAAAGCTCTTCAAGTCACAGAGGAGATGTCTATGTTAAAAATCGTCTAATATTGCAACACTTTATGTTCCCCTTTTTTCAGTTAAATTTTGTTTTTATCTTTACGTCGAAATTCCATTGTTACAAACTTTCAACACTTTTTATAGCTTTAATCGTTGCAAATTTTGGAGCCGTGTAGTGTTCTTCACAATTTATCATTCAGCATTTGTGCTCACTCAAACCAAATTTTGGAGCCGTGTTAGTGTTCTAGCCGCTTCTTAAAATTTATCATTGGTTAACTAGTCGTTTAACCGATAAATAGACCGGGTTATAGCAAGATTAAAGTGGTTTCTTTGATTCAATAACTGAAAGAAGAAAAAATTACATTAGTAAATTGCTCATTAGCCTTTAGCAAACCCATTCCTCTTTATCCCTCCTTCATTGCAATAGTCCTTTGCAATATCCAAACCATAAAAAAATTAAGACAACAAAAATTACAGAGGCAGTAACATTTCTAAAAACAATCATACGGCATATAGTTTGTATATGATTTCAACAACAGACTCTGAAGTAACCATCATGTGCTCCAACGATGAACAATCTGGAGTATGGTAAAACACAAATGGTCGATAAATCCGATCTGATTCTTCCTCCCTTCTCAGCCATATACAGTTTCTGTGGTATAATCCGCTGCTGCAGTTGCTCCTCCTGTCAATTGAACAAAACCGGTCATTTCTCACATACTTCTTGTTTTCACGACGATTCTGTGCATGAACCGACTGAAAAAAAACTTGGTCTACTGATCTAATTCTAATCTTAGTTTAGAGACTCATAGCAAAAGTGATGAAGGCGTGTTTGCTTTAGCTCATTACGTAAATCTCGACAAGGAGTGAGAAACTACCTCGTCTTGAGACTTTGACAGAGAGAAAATTCCAATGTTGTTCCTTGATATGGAGATAATGTCTTTCCCCCAGATGGAGAAACCCGAAACATCGTCGTTGTGTCCTTTGACTACAAAAGGCTGTGGCGTCCAGCTCCTGTTTGACCAGAAAGATAATAAACCCCGTTGTTATTACACGTAGGTATATCGGAAAACAAAAACAAAAACTTACAAGAATTTTTTTTTAAAAAAACGTGATAAATTGTTTCGCTCACTTTCTCAAGTCCCAGATCCGTAAAGTTTTGTCAAGAGAGCTGGAAACAAGTAAATGGCTCTCAGGTGCCGCTAACTGCAAGGTGAAAAAAAATGTTTATAAGAAGAAAGGCCATAGTGGTGTTTTAGGAATTTATATTCGTTTTGAGAGGTATAAAAAGCTTAATTCACCTTTGTCACATATCCGTCGTGAGCTCTCCAGGAAGAAACAACACCACCTTCCCTCAAGTCAAATAGCCTACACTGGCCAGAACTAAAACCAGCTGCAATCCAAGATGGTGATACTGAAGCTCCGTCTCCATGTTTTGTTTGAGACCCTCCTGAACAAAGAGCAGATACCAGAGAAGTAAACCCAGATTCAACAGGTTCTCCTCTCCAAAGTTCAAGCTTCTGGCCTCTTGCTAGATCGATAAACCTGAATTGTGTACAGTGAAATTGAGCAAAAATAGTTGCATATTATCTCTAATGCTTAACTAATTTGATTTTTAGTGTAGCGGATACTATTTTACCTGAGGGCACCGGATCCGGTTCCAACAACGAGCTGATCCATGTATTCTAAATAATGCATACATGTATACAAGTTACCATCGAATATTCCACTTGATAATCCATGTGACGCATGTTTATTACTCTGATTGGAATTATTCTTTGTTGAAGCTTGATCTTGATCCGTAGGTGACTCGGAGAACAAAGATATTAGTTTCCCGGTTTGGCTGTTCCACACATGTATAGTACCGTCGCAAGATGCAATCTTTCCGGTGGATGACAGAATACTAATGTCATTGACAACCTAAAGTATACAATAAACAATTAGGTTCATACTTAATTTATAAGTAAGAGAACAAATATGGGGAATGCCGAAAAAAAGCTGAAATAATAAAGAGGAACTCACCTCTTCATGGGCATGATAGCCAGATACACAACTTAAGCTTGCTAGTTCCCACTTCTGAACACTTCCCTTGAACCCAGGATCAATACCTGAGGTGAAAACTGTACACTCATCTTCAGAAACCACTAAAGATCTTAGAGCTCCGTGATGGGCATGAGCTGAAGACAAAACAGATGCTCTAATTCTCCATCGTTGCTCATCTTTGGGGTTTCCAAAACGCCCAATGTCAAGCCCATCCCAACAAGCTACTGGACTAGGAAACCATGACCATGGTTCATGCACCAAAGGGTTTAAGACTGCTTCTTGTCCTTCAACTGGGACATGTATATGAGGTTTTAAGTGATTGGAATCTCTTGACTCTTCCGACTGGGGAACAAAACGTCCAGATCCGTTGAGCTGTTTCTTAGAAGGAGGGACCTTGTTTACGACAGGCCTAGCTTCCATATTATATCGAGAAGATCGCCCTGTGTATTCCCACTGAATCAAAAATAGATTTAGTGATTAAATGTCCATAGCTCAATGGAAATCTGTATATCAGATATTCTTGCAACAGAAACCCAGAGTTCTTCTATATATGAAGGAAAGATACCTTCCAGTTATGATGCTTTAGCAGATATTGCTCGAGGAGTAGCCAAGTGGGACAACCCTGACGTAACTTCTCCATACCAAGAAGTGAGGCGAAAGAAGGATAGAGAAGCAACCTGTAATTCCTCCAACGTTAGGAGATAAACGGAATCATACAAAGGTTATTCACTGATGGTTCAGGTGAAACACGCACACAAGAATCATACGGCTTTTGATTGGAGATTCTGGATGGAAATTTTGTTCGGCAGTCCTGATCTTCCAGCTTAAAGAGTCAGATGCATCTGTACTTTTCTCAGAGAAAGCAAACTCATCGAAAAGCTCCTTCAACTGCGGAAGAACATGCAATGCAGTCAACTCTTGTCCAATCCGCTGGCAAATTGACATCAGAGAAGTTGCAGCAAACTGTAACAGTGAAGAAAACAACATTTTAAAGAGAATCAAATGTTAATAGACATTACATATGCTTGCAATGGCCAGTAAGAGTTGTACTGATGGATACTCTTATAAATAAGACATTGATGCATGCCTAACAGCGGAAATGCCAATAGAACGATTCTACAACAAAGATCTTAAACGTTTAGCTAAATTTTTTTTTTTTTTTAGTCAATTTTCTATCAACATTTAGAGTGAGACATTCAATGACAACTTAAACCAGGTCGTACATAATTATATGTCATTAGCCTTCACGGCTTCCTCAAAGTTACTGACAAAAAAAGTAAAAGAAGAACGAAAGAAAATCAAGAATACCTGAAGGACCCGCAACTCTAGATTTTTCTGCATCAGAACTCTTACATGCAGGCACAACCGACCCTATGTGATGATAAGACAAACCACAACAACAGAACGAAAAACTTTCAGTCACATAAAACTACAATAGAGATCGAAAGTGCAAAATTTTAAAACATACTTTGGTCAGCTCATGTATGAGCAGCTCGTCTGATATAAGAGAAACTAGACCATCGAGCGTGATTAGGCAATCAGTCAATGCTAAAGAACACCAGCTATGAACAGGCTCTGGTTTTTTCATAGACGAAAGATCGATACAGAAGCACACAACATGTTCAAGCAATGGCAGCATCTGTTTGACAATGAAGTTCACGCCCAACAGTCTCCCTGAAAGTTACAAGACAACAATCACTTAGCTATTTATGAATCTTCCAAACAGAGACTAGCTGCATGAACCAAATATAGAGTGTACCAATTCTAACCAGCACATCAATCCCGTCAGTACATATTCCTTTTCCGAAGTAATTAATCAGAGGTAGTATAGTCTGTATTGAGGGAAAAGTCAGAATCCATATCAGAATTTAGAAACACAACATACCCAATGAACGGTATTAAAAATTGATTGGAGGATTAGAACAGCAAATCTTGTCTCACCTGATGAACTGTAACAGGGGCACCAAGTTCTTCGCTGGAACCAATCAGCAACACAGAAGCTGCAGAAGCCGAAATCTTGTCCGGGGAATTATACAAGTTTGATATGACCAGAGGATGAATCATTTCAAGGTATACTTTCTTCCCAATCCGATTCCATAGTTCCCTCACAAACGAATCTTGAAGAAGAGAAACTTTCAAATGCGAGTAACCTGTCGTCTGAGCATACGATACTCTGTCAGAGGACAATGATTGAACTTAACAACAAGCTGATACTCTAAGCACACAAGAATTTAGATTTTTACAAATTCCATCGGGAACCAAAAAAAAAATGCTTACCAGTAAGACCTTCTGGATAGAAGGCAAGACAAGTCTCTGCACGGCCATTGGCGTCAAAGATTTTGTAAACTCTTTGATAAGCACATACGCCGATTCACACTCATGCTCAGATAAAGGTGTCGTCACCAGTGGCAAACAGTACGGAGCACACATCTCTGCCACAAATGTTCCCATTGCTTTCATGGCCCCCTGTTTGGCGAAACTAGCAGCATAATACAAGCGTGTTCCAGCCTTGGCCAAAAGGTGAAGTGGAGCAGCAAATAAGTAAGCCGACTTCACTGTAGCTGAGAAATACGGAGAGTTCAAAAGACTTTTTGCTGAGGGCCTCCTAAATTTCTCGAAAGGAAGAGAAAATAAAGAGTCAGTCACACATCTAAAAAAGACAAAATGTGTCACTACACAATTTTTTATCAGCATGTAGCACACAGAGAGTCATAAACACAAAGAAGTATCACAGAAGACCAGGGTATACCAAAAAAGGGTGAGATAAAGTACCTTCTCCAATCTCGTTCAACGCATGCTTCGACAAGTACCTTAGTAGGAGGAGGAAGTTCCTTGATTAATTCAGGTAAGTCAGCACCTCCTAAATAAGTAGCCAGAGACACTGAGTTAAATAGCGGCTTCATTAAATAAAGTTCCGCTAAGACACAGCCAATTGAGAATATATCCCCTGCGATGTCCTTTCCTGGGCAGAAATCTTGCCGCCATAGTAACAACTCCTGAACTTCGATAGAAGCTTCGTCTCTCACCTCTATATGCTCCAGAAGATAATTTAAACTTATATCGGATGGTAGATCTTTGTTTCTTGAAATTCCAGGGAAACTAGTATCAGCTCTGTTAGTGTTTTCACTGTAAGATTCATGCAAAAGAGACTCATCCAAGTTTTGTTGAAGGTGATATTTTGGACTTAGATGTGATGCATGTTCAGAAAATGCAGCTGCCTCTTCAGTTTCTTCCAAATAATCATCAGCTTCGAGGATGACGGACCTCTTGTTGTCCACCCCAAAGCCATGAAAAGTATGCATTTCTAGTTCATTTCTACTTTGTTCCTTCTCGCGGGAGAAACGCAGGCGCACCGGATGAGGCCGAGAAAAGAGTTGACGGCGTCCAACCGACCTTGGTACTGTCGGCTCCGATGAAGATAACATAACATTCTTTGCAGTAATAGCAGCCTGTCCCGACATTTTGTAACCAAAAGTAATATCAATCCAGTGATGTAATAGAGATGAAACATGGGGGCTTTCCAGAGCATCTCGATGCACTCTGATGAACTCCTCGGGACTGCTTGCCCATGGAGGTACAGCCAAATCAGACATACTAGGATGAAGGGAGCAAAAGATGCGGGAATCGCAATAAAACTCAGGGATGCACTCGTCAGGAGTCCAGTCATAAAGCCTTTGCATGTCAGAGGGATACTCGTTAGGTTCGTACACGGACCGAACTGCCTTCCTCAGGACGCTCAGTGGCAGTCTCCTTGCTTTGTAGCTGCAAACAGCCAGCTCAGACAGACATTCATCTGAGACATGATGCGGAATCTCAAATGTCGAATAGGTAAAATCTAATTGTTCATCTCCTTTTGCCAATCTCCATTTGCTTTTTCTTAAATCCCGCCAGCCTGAGTCGCTGTCATCTTCAGGTTTTTGGCTGAAATCTATGACCCATGGCATTACTGGATGAAATGTGTGGTCTCCCCACCTTCGACCAGCTAGTTTGTTTAAGAAGAGTAAATACTCAAAATTGCTTACCTCTCCCCTCCACCATTTATCAAAGATAGTCTGCCACTCTGAATGTGAAGAAATTTTAAGATCAGCATAAACGCCAGAGGAATAACAACCCTCTACGCACCACCTTCTTCTTGAAGCAGATGAATCGGCACATCCAGAACCTAAATCAGGCTTGCTATTGATCTTTACCCAACTCCATAATGAATCGGATAAGAATATGTTTGACGGACGAATATCCCCATGGGGAACCCTCAAGCCATGCAAGTGAGCTAAGGCAGACAGAAGCTGATATATGATAAAATTTCTATGCCATTCTGACTTTATAGCACTGGGGCTGTAGTAGAGAATATTTTCCAGCGTATATGGGGCTTTGGGGAGCACTGAGACCAAACAATCAGATGATGTCAGAAATCCTAAGACCGGTGATAGATTTGGATGCCTGAGACATCGAGACTTGCTCTTCTCCTCTAACAATGGTAACCCAAGAAGACGAAGAAAACTTTGGGTTTCTCGGCCAGATGACTCTCCATCGATCAGGCGATGCAGAGAGACTAAAATATGATCTTCAGGACACTCAGAAAGGAAAGTAGAAGCAACCTTTTGAAGATCAGAGGCAGAGCATTTGCTAATCTGAGCAATTGGTAAAAGTGCAGTTATGGTTCTCCAGCATGATAAACTACCTGAAAGCTCACAAGTAACACTTCCACAAGTAATGTTCTCTGTGGCTAACTCTCTGTCATCATCTTTAGTAGCCTGAGAACCAGAGGGTGAACAATCCAAATGCTCATCAGATTCAGCATCATCATTTGAATTTCCACATCTTTCACTGCAAATATAACAAAAAGCTTGCTCAATCACAATTCACAGATAGGAACAGATTCAGGTACTTAGCCTAAGGGAAAAAAGAAAAAAATTCGAACATACACGTAGTTGGCTAAGCAACCATGTTCTTCCTTGCGTAGATACTCCAAAACGAACTGGGATGAAGTAGAATCAAAATCAGAAGCAGAGAATCCACCGCTAGGATCAAAAACCTACACAAAACACCATTAAAGCAAGCAGCTCAAAAATTTCTCAATACTCACACCATTGAAATCTACAATACATATTGTGTAAATTGAAGTAGAGGGAGACCTCAACGACGGCGGAGGAACCAAAAGGAAGCGGAGAATCGGAGAGGCCGTAAGAGAAGAGGATCTGATCGGAGAAGTCTGACTTGATCCGTTGCTCGAGGCAATCGAAGCAAACGTCACTTGCTTCACCTCGCATCCCTTATTTTCTCAGTTTCCTCCTCGCATTCTATTGCTGTTTCGATCTGAAGAGCGCTTCCCAGTAAAATGGAGAAAGAGAGACGTCAAATTATAATTTTCTAACAAGGGAGATCGATCAACGTCGGCCACCTTCTGAACGAAAACGCGGCCAAGAACGCCGTGTTTCCCAAAACGCCGCCGTTTCAGTCACGGGAACAAATAATTCTTTTTGCTTAAATTTTTTATTTCTCTCAGCATTTTTGGTTTTCAAGTTGGTATTTTTTAAGACGGCCGTCAAAGTTTTCGTGACGGAGAGTTTGTTTTGCCGTCGGGAGGAAAAAGGCACAAATTGCAATGGGAGGAGGCGGAGGAGGAGGAGCGACTGACGAGCTGACCGAAGATGAGAAGAGAGCTCTCAGAGGAAGCAAATTCGCTCCGCTTACTTCTCTTCCGTCCTCTTCTCGCTCTCATGAGCCCAGGTTTGTTTTTTTTTCACTCCTTACGGTCTTTGTTTCTCGTCTTCCTCCTTGTCTCGATTTTGAAATTCTGACTCTCGTACGTCTGCCTATATATATACATATATGTCTACAGATTGGCTCATCCAGGTGGACCCTTGAAGACGAACAAAGCGGCGGCTTTAGCCAAATTTCTTGAAAGGAAGCTGCAAGACCCTAATGGGTTGTCTTCCATTGATCCCGATCTTCTCGAATTGGCTGTCAAAAACGCCAAAGACACCGTTATTTCCAGTGAGTAGTACAATACACAGATTCTGTTTGGGCAAAAGTTATAGTTTTTTTGCATTGAAAGGCATTAGTTTTGTAGAGTACAATGTAATTAGCCTAGAAGTGACGGTTGATGATAGCTCAGCATTAAGTGTGAGAGCTGAGGTGCTACGGATAATCTGTTAGAGGTACTGATAAGGTGTTCTTGTTGAGTCTTGGTGCAGGACCATTGTAACTTTAGCTTAGCGAGAGCTGAAAGTTTAAAAAGTGAGCTAGAGGAATGTGCTGAGTCGCTCTGGATTGGTCTAGGATCTTGGTTTGTGCTTAGGAGAGAATTTAGGGTGCTCTAGAATTCAACATAAATATTGTATCTTTGATTATTTTTTATTCAGTTTGTTCTCTATCTGTCGTCTGTGATTAGTTCAAAGAGTGATCAAAGGGAGAAGAATTACATTGTGGTTCCTATGGATTTGCTAGTGTATAGGTTGGGAGTTAAGATAGTAGAAAGTAGAAACTGTGGGTAGCATCAAACAGGAGACTTTATAAGAAGGTGATGATAGTGCAGGAGATGTATATGGCATTGCAAATAAAGACTGTGGATTGATGCATTCCATGAATTTTCCTTAGTTTCAAAGTAAAATAGGTAGCATTCGTTAGATGAAGATGCATAGTGACTGTTTGCCTGAAGAATAGTTTCACACTATAAGTTCATTGTAACTGTGGACTAAGGTTAGCTCACTTCAAGCCTTAGAATAATCATGTAATTTGTAGATGGTCGGTGAAAATAACATATAGCACACACATTAACATGTTGAGATTTGCTTTTATCCGAGCCAGTCCATATAAGAAAGACAAAAAATGCAAGCATCAGTTATGTTTTTGGGGAATATATGTATATGGCAGAATGAGTTTTTCTTAAGCTGTGGTAAGTATCGAATGTGAAGGTAGTAATAATCTTTGTGATGGTCTACTGGTTTCAGGTGGGTCTTCGAGTTCAGGAAGAACAATCCAACACGTTGCCTCATTTGAAGACGTCGAGGTATCTGATTCTCTCTACTCTGTCTCTCCTTCATTCTATCTGGGTTGGGAATAAATTTTTTTGTAGAATATGTTCTAATGACCAGTTCTTACGCCTTGTTCGTCATGTATAGGTATCTTCTGGTGACGATAAGATAGAGAACACTAAGCTTAAGAAAAAGAAAAAGAAGAAAAACGCAAAGAAGAAAAAAGACGAGAAAAAGAAGAAGAAAAACAAAAAGCATAAGGTTTATTTTTATTTTTTTTTAATCTCCCTCACACCCTTTTTCCTTATCTCATCTTTCTACGTGCTTTTCGTTTTCCCCACACGTTTTTTGATATAAAGTCTTTTTACGTTACTTTGTGGATTCCGTCGCTCATATCTGCTTGTGGAAAAACTTTTTTTGAAAGCAACAGATCACAGTGGATGAAGATGCCAAGTTGAAGAGACCCAATAAGAAGTTGAAGCTTTAGTTTCCCTTTTTTGCTATACATTCATTACTGGTCACACATATTTTGATTAAGATGGTTTTTTTAGCTGGGCCCTTAGCAGAACAAACTACTCTTGTTTATGTTGGTTCTGAGACTGGAGGTGTTTGTGGTTTTTGAACAAATAGCTTCATGAATCTAAAATTTGTAATTTTGAAGGAGGATCCTTGCTTGTGTTTTTTTTTTTTTCACCCTTTTTCGATCATCGTTATGAGACCACCAGTTGCAACTTGTGGAATGTTAAAGGCATAATCTTTATATAAGGTCATGAGTATGTTTGTACCACTTCCAAGAAGACATAATAATAGAGATAAATGAATTTCTATGATTTTCTTAGATTTTGTTATACATATATTTTCTACATTATGATTTTAAATCTCTTTTTTTTTGTCGTCGATTCACGCAATTCATCGATGGAGCAGGGTACAAAATAGATATGACCTTGTAAAAAGATCAAGTAAGTTTATTATTTGGAAAACAGCACTTAGTTCAATAATACACTGTCGCGCGATGTCATGGTCCGAGCAAAAGAAGACAAAAGAAGAGGTATTAGAAATAATAAAACATTAAAAAAAAAAAATGAGCTCGCCGACATTTGGTAGATGAGAGGATACGAATGTTATGGTCCAAAAGATCTTTGAGAGAATAACACAATCTCCAAAAGCTGCTCACATGTGGCCAATACCTCTCCAAGTCAAACCTTCGAATTCTATTCTTAATTATTCCATAACAGAGCTTAATATCTAATCAAACCATGCTTATTAGTTATATAAATGCCTGCCTCATTTGACTGATTAATTTTCACTCTTTACGAGTGGATTGAATATAAGTATTCATAGAACAGCTCGGTCAGACTCAAGTATTATTAATTTTCCTTACCAATTTCAAATCAGTCCGACACATAATAAAATATGAAATAAAAGTATAATAAATAAAATTGTTTTACGATTCTTCTTTCTCCTTTCTCTACTTTGAAATCTAGGTTTGAGTTTTCTCTACCTACACTGCGCAAGTTGAACATACTACAAATGAAAATATATTTATTCACACGAATGCCTTTTATAACCGTTGAAATTGGTGATTACACGATAGTTACAACATCACCTTTTCAAGTGATCTTAAAGTTCATTAGTTGTACTAAACACACAATTCATACAATCTTCACGCGCCTTTCTGCGTTTCTTAACTTCACGTGTTTCAATCATTCCAAAGCAACCAAAACATTTTTATTTTTTTTGCTTGCAGTGGCACACAACATAAATTTGTAACATCAACTTGTAAATTTATAACATAGCCACAACAAAAGTTATTGTTTGTGAGATATAAAGACTATAACTCTCCACATAAAAAAATGTAAAAACATCCAAACTAACACTATGAGAATGGGAATGGTGAAATTTGTTCACAAAATAAAATCTGTTTTGCAAAAATGTTGACATTTGTAAATCAATCATCCAAAAGCATTAAATCAACGATCCATAGAAGAAATATCGGGAGTGGTAAATAATAGGGGTGGGCGCGGATCGGATATCCGGGAATTTTTTAGTATTTGTGATTTGCTCCGTTTTTAACGGATATTTAATTTTATGATTTGATTTGCTTCGGAAATATATGGATATCCGGATTTTCGGATATCCGGAAAATTTACAAGTATTTGCGGATATTTGCGGATATTTACGGATATTTATAAATATTTAGTTTGATTCGTTTAATATACACAAAACTGAAAGTACATCAATTTTTATTATAAAAAATATTTTTCATCTAAACTATTAAGTGAAAATAACTAAAAGAAAATATTTTATTTTATAAAAAAATCTATAAAAAATAAACATACAAAATTAAGATGACGAAAAAATGATATTTTATATTTAAAAATAATATTAGCTATTTGAAACTTTAATATTAAACTTTACTAAAAAAACTTTTGTTGATATTTATTTACTAATATTAAATAAAATGTTATTTATTAACATATTATTTATTTTTTATAATTGGTTATTTAATCATTTATTTTATATAATTAAAAGAACAATTGAAAATTTAAGAAGAAAATTGAGAATATATTAATAAATATAATTAATATATATATGATAATATATAATAAATTTATAAAGATACAGATCGGATCGGATATCCGGCGTTATCTAAAAACATATTTGTAATTTGCTCCGTTTTGTACGGATATTACATTTTGCTATTTGCTTTGCTCCAAAGCTTTACGGATATCCGGATTTTTTTAATTGGATTGAAGCAAATATCAGTTCGAAGCGGATATAACGGATATTTTGCCCACCCCTAGTAAATAATACTAAATGCCTTGTAGTGTGAAGTGACCTTTAAACGTTTTGGTGTTGAGTGCGATTCACACTCTTTGCGTGAGCGTGCAAGAAAATTCTTTCCGTATACACTTCTACTCCGTCTCCACACGTGTAGTTTTCTTATTTGTTGCCAAACAAAACTTCTTCTCTTTGGCGTTTAAAAGCCTATAATAGTGGTGGTACTTATTGATTTTCCACTAAATAACCAAGTGTAAGCTTAAGTACATATTTACACCAAGAGAAATTGCAAACATTTCATAATTATGTTTAATGAAACAGAACCAGTACTGTTCTTATTTGCATTTACAATTTCAAAAACGAAATCTAGTCTTTGTCTTAGACTGCCAAAACCAGACAATGTAGTTAAGACCATCATACTTTTGTAATGCTTTTTCTTAGTCTGTTGACTCAACGAACACGTGTACACAACTAGTTACAAAATCTTAGACGTAGTAAATATATGAAAGCTAAAAATATGAGGTAGATGAGTTGTGGTCAAAAGCACAAACTAAGATCTAACTATTGTGTCTCTGACCAGTGTAGTAGTGAGTATCAACAACTAATCAAATACATTCTGATTATTTTCATTAGATTTAAGAAAAAATTAGTAGATGGAATGGTTGGTTGAGGAACCAAAAAAATGTTAGCATCAATTAATAAATAACACATGACTTAATTTTGACAAAGAAATAGCAGCATGGCAATAAAATATATTTGTTGAGAAAAAGAAAAACAATTTTGTCATGTTGCTACTTCCTATATTTGCAACTTGAGCCGACACAAGTTATTTTCTTCTTAACCATCACAATTGATAAACAATCATTTCCCATTTTATCAGAATTACATAAATAAATACTGAATTTGGAGAGATTATATATACATAATATAGTTCATAATATTCGTATCTACATGCACTTTTCGTGTGTGGTGTTTTCGTTTCAATAATAATTGTATAACTTTGTAAACACCACAACATACCATTTTTATTCTTAGTTTGTAAAATGCAGGGTTTGGATTTATATCATATATACAAACTTATATACATTTCATGATAATCTACTTGGTGTAAACGTGGATTCACTTGAATTAAACTAATTTTTCCAACGCCATGGAATCATTGAATTAATTCCTTTTTCCGTTTAAAACACACACAGATTCAGTTTTTCTAATAGTTTTACGGCAAATGACAACTGTATCCTTCACCCGTAAATTCAAGTTTCTCCACGGACGTGTCATGTAGTCATGATTCAAAGGTTTAACTGTAATTTACGCAACAGTTTACGAAAGAAAGTAAAAACTGAGTACTGAGAGAGTAGTGGCATTTTTAATGCTCCCGTTAGTGTTTTAATCTTTCATATGTTGAGTGTTCAAGTGAAAAGTAGTACAGCCAAAAAATGGTAAAGGATAGCGATAAAAGATAAACAGAATATAGCAATTTAATAATAGTTTTGATTGATGTTTAATACTTTATTTTTTTTGGAACTGATTTATGTAAATTTAAAATATATAAAAGAAAAAAAATTCATTTTTGTAATTAGTCGACATCAGTCGGTTTTCTATAAAACTACAACACTTCAATACACACATACATTTTGTAGGCGGCATCAAATTAAATTAGATCCATATATATACACCAGCTGAAGTGTTACACTTGTTTACTTATATATTTTTGAGGTTTTAATTCAACAACACTCTATACAAATTTATTTCTAAAAATATCGAGGAAACGAAAAAAAAATATGTACAATGATGGAAAAAAAGAAAGCAATAAATAAAGAGAAGTCATTTATTCTATGTTTGGCGCGTATATTAACCACCACCGGCAAAACACCCACAAAAAAGGCGAGCACGCATAAAGAAAGATCAAAAACCTTCCCCCATCCCTTCCAAAATCCCCAAACCAACCAACAAAAACAAAATTATACTCCTTACGAAATTATTCCCAAATTTTCGCTGCCAAAAAAACAAATATTGATTTTTTGATTTTTTTTAAAGGTTTCAGCTTTAAGCAAAGAGATCAAGCGACTGAGAGTGGTGTGGTGAGACAGAACCAACCACGATCTGTGTGGTTTTTCTTTTGTCCTTTTTTTCTTTCTTTTTTTGTTCTCCAATCTCACCCTCCAAAAAAAAAAAACATAATTTGCTTCCTGACACTCCCATTTGATCGGAGCTCGACATTGCTGAATTCTGTTTCGCCGCGAGGAAGAAAGATAGATTAGGGTTTTAAATTATATATGGAGCGGTACGGTCGCGCCGGCGAAGATGGCTCGCGCTCGGATCCATCACTTGAGTGGACCGCTCCAGGAGGCGAAACCGGTATCGAAGGTAACGTTATATAATGATGGCTGTTTCCTGCATTTTTTTATATCTTTCTCTTTCTGTTAATGTTTGATTTCGCGGGCTTTAAATCTGCGATTAGCGTTTATGTGAGAATCCAACAAAAGTTTTCCTTCTGCAAAATGCGGCGTTTGTAGCTTCGATGTGGCGGTTAGGGTTGCGTGGCGGTGGAGGTGGAGGTGAATCGTACCCGGAGCGACCCGATGAGCCGGATTGTATCTACTACTTACGAACCGGTGTTTGCGGGTACGGGTCGAGATGTCGGTTCAATCACCCACGAAACCGTGCACCGGTAATAATAATCTCTCTTTCTCTCTCTCTCTCTCATCTCTCTGTTTTCTACTTTCTGGGTTTCTGATAAAGTTACTGCCTTTTTGTCTGCTTCCTGTGTGTTTCGATTTTGATGCAGTCTTTATTTTAATTGGGGCGATTTAGCTAATCAGATGCATTATTGAATATGCGATCTGATATATACTGAAACAGAATATAGGATCTCAATTTTGCTTGGAAGCTCTCATTGGATGTTCTTATTAGTTTCATTTTCTTAGGTTTTGGGAGGTCTCAGAACAGATGCTGGAGAGTTCCCTGAGAGAATGGGACAACCCGTCTGTCAGGTATCATCTATTCGATCGATCGTATTCAAACCACGAGAATTGGTTACTGATTGAGCAATGCACTTTCGATTTTAACTATAAGCCATAATGTAGTGGCCAATTCTCATTTTTGATGCTTTGTTTTGCACAGCATTTTATGCGAACGGGAACATGTAAATTTGGTGCTTCTTGCAAGTATCACCATCCTCGACAAGGAGGAGGAGGAGTGGATTCTGTTACTCCTGTCTCACTAAATTACATGGGATTTCCATTACGCCCGGTTTGTTCAAATCTCTCTCTGTAGTCTCGGTTTGATCGGTCTTTTTCTTTTCTTTCTTACTAATGTTGTTGTGGTGTGTATTGTTATGTATGATCTCTCAAAGTTTTCCTTACTAATGGACAATACAGGGTGAGAAAGAATGCTCCTATTACATGAGAACCGGTCAGTGTAAATTCGGTTCAACCTGTCGGTTTCACCATCCGGTTCCTCCTAGTGTACAAGCTCCATCACAGCCTCAGCAGCAGCAACAGCAGTTATCCTCTACTCCAGCTATCTATCCGTCGCTTCAGTCTCAGTCCGTTCCTTCATCGCAGCAGTACGGAGTAGTGATACCAAGGCCTCAGTTTTTACCAGGCTCATATGTTCAAAGCCCTTACGGTTACAGCCAAATGGTTCTCCCTCCCGGTATGGTTCCATACTCAGGCTGGAACCCTTACCAGGTAATAATGTTCGGAAAGAAAACCCCATTTCGCGCTCTCTCTCTCTCTCTCTTTTTCTTATTTCTTAGTCTTGATAAAAGCTCATTCCACTTATCTAGGCTTCTGTAAGTGCAATACCTTCGCCTGGGACTCAACCGTCTATTGGATCAAGCTCTGTTTATGGAATCACGCCGTTGTCTCCTTCAGCGCCTGCTTATCAGTCCGGTCTTTTAAACAAGGAACATTCTTTTCCTCAGCGACCTGGACAACCCGATTGTCAGTACTTTATGAGAACCGGAGATTGTAAATTCGGAACCTCTTGCAGATACCATCATCCTCTGGAAGCAGCATCGCCAAAGGGAGTTACTCTCAGTCATATTGGCCTACCACTTCGTCCTGTAAGTCTCATTTCCCCAAGCATCTCCATATATTTAGCTTTCGCCATGAACTGTGGAAAGAACGGTCTTGAAATTTTCATGACTCAACCAACTAGATTTGGTCGCTTGGCTGTGCCAGGGAAACAATTATGCATCTGATAACAAAGAAGAACTCTGTTTTTTTGGATATGGAAACTCTGTTTCTTGCTTTGATTGTAAAGTGTTTTGAAGTATCATTCTTCTTTCTGTACAACTATGCGTCTGGTGACAAAGAGAAAGCTAATAATAAGAGCTTTTGCAGGGCACAGCGCAATGTAGCCACTTTGCGCAACATGGGATATGCAAGTTTGGGCCTGCCTGCAAATTTGACCACTCCATGAACTCTTCGTTACTAAGCTACAGCCCGTCCGCTTCTTCCCTCATTGACATGCCTGTTGCGCCTTATCCTCTTGGCTCCTCATCGTTCGGCACATTAGCTCCATCGTCGTCATCCTTGTCTGACCAACGCACAGAGCTTCTCTCTTCAAGCTCCATTAAACCCAGTTCCACAGCAAGTGGTGTCTTAGAAACTGTGGCTACTGGAGTTTCTTCTTCTATGACCGGTAGTGTGAGCCATCCCGAGCCTGCTGAGACCAAAAATGGTGACTCGGCTAGTATTGAGGCTAAGACTTCAAGTTAAAAGGAGACAAAACTCAAAGGAGAGAAGAGAATGTCTCTCTATTCTTCTTCCATTATTATCTCTCTCTTCTCTCTATCTCTTCTTTTCATCAAACTTTCATGAACTCAGGAACATATAAAAAAAAACGGAATTTTTTGGGTGGAGACAACAACAAGAAGGAAAAGCAGAGAGAGACGAACAGTTCTCTGTGTTATGTCTCTCCTCTTTAGGTCTCTCTTTACCATGTTCATATTATTCCTTCATACGGCCATCTCTTTCCTTATCCTTTGTTTTTGTTTACTTTTCGAAACGATGATTAATAAATGGCCTTATTATTCACGAAAATCCTCTGATTCCTGAAAGGTGAAAATCCCCTGTTTATTTTAAAAAGTTGATGGAATATCGAAATGAAGAATCCAGTTTTTTTTTTTTTTTTTTTTAAATTGCGTTAAGTTATTGTGTTTATTCTCAAGAAAAGGTACAATGTTTCTTTATGATTTTACCAAAAAAATTGGTAAGAGATTGTAAACTTAAATGCCCAACAGGAACGGAATGTGAAATTCTGTTTACTTATGCGTTTACATTCTGTAAAGAAGGTTTGACAAATAATATATCAAGACTTTTTTTTCTTTTTTTCTTGTATGTGTAAATGCTAAATTGTAAACGCGAACGCAATAGTCGTTTGAAACAACCCGATTCTAAAGTCTTTTAGAACAGCAACAAGAAAAGGAATAGCATGAAAAAGCAGAGCAGAGCAGATCGCTGGGTCACGTTTCCTATTATTGTTCTTCTTGTTCTACATTCGATCCGTACGACTTTGATAATGAAATATCTGAAAAGAAGTGAGTATAAAAAATAATTAATATTAGTAAAAACTAAAAACCACTGTTAATGTGGAAGTGGAAGTCAGTACTTGGTTGTTTGTGTTGGTGATATAACATGTGCATGTGTGGTTTGTTCGTTGCGTCTAGTTTTACTCAATCAACAGAGAAATCATAATCATGAGTTTGGTCACTGAAACATCACAACAAAAGCTTTCAACTACCCAAAAATTACTAATCATTAATGCTCTGAGGTATGATCTATCATAGTTAAGACTGTATAAAGATATTGGCTTTTTTATATGTGCGAGTTAACGTAACCTTAACAGATTTATGGCGACAGTAGATTCTCCTTTTCTTTCTAAATAGATTATACAGATTACTATAAATGTTTTAAAAGAACCTAATTCTCTCCATACATACTCTATAGGTCACGTTTATATTTCCATGTTTAGAATAATGGGCTTATATTATGATATTTTGAAGCGAAACAAATAGATAACTTCAAAATTTGAGCATCATATCTGATGAATTCCATGGAATATTGAAATATATATATATATATAGAGCTCTGATTGGGTTTGATCATTTAACAACAACAAAAAGTGAAGTTGACCAACATTGGAAAAGGGACTAAAAGAAAGTTAAAAACCTTAAACAGATTTTAAAAATGAAAAAAAAAGAGTTGTGATGTTGAGTTGTTGTAGAAAAAAGTTAAGGCAGAGTATAGGCAAAAAGGAGGGAGACATGAAACAGTGATTGTGCAATTAAAAGACCAAACAACCAAAACACATGTCCAAAGACCAAAAACACCATCATGCTACTTCACTAAAAGTCCATCTCACATTACCTACACTATTTGTATAAACATGCAAAAATTAGACTACAATCTCCTATATATATCTTCAATCCTTTTTTTTCCCCCATAACCATATATCCCTAATATTAAAACTCAGAACTTGTGAAATTTGTATCTGTCGAAACTAAAGATATCTGACTTTCTGCAACTAATATTATGATCCTCATCATATATAACATATTTTAGCTATTGATCACTTCCAGTCAAATATCCGTTTTGAGTAAGTCATTTGATTTCATTATATTATACACACCACACTTAAATACACAATGAGTGTGTTGGAAGTAGCATGGACAAAAAAAGTGGTCTTTAATACAACTCGCTTTAAAACTTTTTGCTAATCAAAACCATGTTACAAAATAAAATAACAAAAACTAAAGAAAAGAAAGAAAATCAAAACTTCATGGTAAGGTTACCTTATGGTGCATGATGCGATAGGCAAAATATATATAGATAAAGTCGATGACATTGTGTACAACAAAAATCAAACGACCATGGAATAACGTAAATACTAATGATATTATTACATAAATATAAAAAACAGAAACATTGAATAGAATGTTCTAATAGAGTGAGTAAAAGCCTGTAGTGTCTGCAACAACATCTCCAAAAGCAGCGATGGAAGAAGAAGAGAAATCTTGCGGCCCCATTATCGCGTAATCTTCCATTGACATTGAAGCAGCAGCACCATAGTTAGTGATCATGGCAGAGAGATCACACGAACCAAAGTCATGATGATTCATCATCATATCACCATCTTCGAAGTAGCTATTACTAAACCCTCCGTATGATTCAGAGGTTTTGCTTGCAGTCGGAGTTGTGAAACCAGCTCCGGTTTGATTTTGGGTGGTGGTGGTTTCCGGAGGTGGTTTAAGGCAGTGGTTTGGGACAATGCAGTCCAAGTAACCCGAGTTTTTATTGGAGTTTGTATGTTCTAACGAGAAGAAGAAGTTGTTTTCTTCGTCTAGTGAAGAAGATAACGAGCCGTTAGAAGAGGAGTTTTGAGGACTAGTACCAAAAGCTTGACTATCTGCGTTTAGATGACGAACGGGCGTTTTGAAAGAAGCGGCGGGTAAGACGGTTTGGGGGAGAGTATGTTTAGGTTGCTGATGGTGATGATAGTTTTGATAATGAGGATGGTGATCAATGACAAACTGTGGAGAAGAGTTTGGTAATAAAGATTGGTTATTGTAAGGAGAAACGATGAGAGAGTGGAGATTAGGGTTTGTGAGGATGGTGTGAACATCATTTGGAGTGTAGACGAAGTTAGTTCGAGCTTGAGTGCCTCTCATTGAAAGAGCGGCTCTATCGTAAGCAAGAGCGGCTTCATGAGCAGTGTCGAAAGTGCCGAGCCAGTGACGTTCTTTGGTGGTTGGATCTCTGATCTCAGCTGCGTAACGTCCCCATGGACGTCTCCTGACTCCTAGGAACCTCCCTGGCTCTGCTTGCTTTGATCTCCGGCCTCGTCTCTCGCCGGTTGTGGGGGTTGTGGTGGTGGTCGTGTTGGTTGTGTTCTGGTGGATTAGAGCAAAACCCATTTGAGTGTGGGATGTTTCAAAGGGTTTATTATGATCTAGGGTTTTGGAGGTTGACATGATGATGAAGATAGATTCGAAAGGAGGTTTCTTAGGGGTTGGTTAAAGATGTGTTATGATGAGTACGTTTTTTTTTTGGTTGCTTTGCTTCTGTCTAAAGATGATGAGTGTTGTTTGGGAATGCAAGTGAAGTGCTGTTATAAATAGAGAGACATTGAGCTTGATAGAGAGAAGATAGAGAGACTTCACTTTTGATTCAACTGCTTTTAGTAGACTATTTTTTGTTTCTTTTATTTGTTATTTTCTGATCTCTTTTTCCAATGTTATTATATTTAGGCTTCAACGACAGAAATAAATCAAACGTTAGCACATTAGTTGGATTTTTAGAAGGTTTTTTTATATGGCTAATCATTTAAAATGATATTAAACCGATTTTAAGCAGCCTAATTGACTATATTAAAAAAAAACTATTTTCTGGCCATTACAATTCACTGGTCTTTTACTGTGGGTATACAGTGTACATATATGTATGTATATGTATAAGAATGGCTACTTATGAAAGCCTAAGAAGGAGGCCAAGAAACATTGGAACTACTGCAAAATCTGGAATGTCACACAGTAACCAATCTTGATTTAGAATAAAGAACAAGAAAATAATACAGATAGAGTAATAAAATATTGGTTAATAGTAGATATTTTAATTGTGATGTATATATTACATCATGCTATTTGAATCTTTTATTTCAATGGGATCAAGCTAATTAATTTACTCAAATAATCTGCTTAGTGGTCACGTGCAATATGCATAATAACCCTACATATATCATAGCCTAAAGGTCAAGGGTCTACGTAAAAGAAAATCGATATTTTCTCTTAGGGTGAAATCTCATATCCAATTAATACAAATGATATATATATTTGAGGTGATATGCATTGCTAATTACAATTAGAGTGTCTAATAAACGTGAATGTACTGAGGTAGATTCATGAATATGATTGTCTAACAAATTTTATCACCAATCCCAAATACGTTTTTATTACAACAACAGATAAGCAAGCGACATGTGTATTGGAATTTTTTCTATCATATTTGGATTTGGTTTAGTTATATATATAAGTAATAATCTAACTTAATAACAGAAGCGTCTGATCACATGGTTACCCGCATTTTAAGCGGAAATAGAAGTGAGAATAATTTTTTTGTCATCTTATAATGATGTTTTCAATGGGAGTGGTTAAAGAAGACACGATGAACCAAACACAAATTAAAATGCTCAGAAAAGTACGTATAAACTTGGTTTGTAGTTTAATATCTCAGTGGACAATTTTGTATTGATGTTCTTATATGCAAACAAACACAAGTCAACAACAGTTTTAGTCTCTTTGTGTTTGTAATTTTGTAGAAATATATATAGATATGCACACATTTCTTACCCGACAAACAGATATGTATGATGATATTAAAAAAATTATACATAGTCAACTATAACACGACTTTAACTTTAGAGTTAAATTAAAAAAGTTATGAGCCCTATATTTGAACTTTGGTTATGGATTAGAGACTTTAAATTAAACTTATCATAATGTTATTTCGAACATTTTACAAGACTAATTGACCGACAAGTAATTGCGTAACTTGTTACGGTGTTTTATCTTCACTCATACAACACTTCAAACCATTTTTATCGACGTGTAGACTGATTGTGAATTTTTTAAAAGGCCGAACACGTTTAACTGCAAAAAAAAAAAAAAAAAAAAAAACTAGATTACTAAAACGACATGGAAATATCAATTAGTTTTATCTTATATGCATTTACCATCGTAATACGTACTATTAATGGGACCCCCCCTGAAGAAAAAGAATTAATAGTCAAAAGGGAAGTTCGGAAAGCTCAAAAGGAATTGTAAAGCAAAATTGGATAAAAACTGCCCAAACAAGAGCACCAAGGTAGGCCACTTCTTCGAGTTTAGTAAAATCAATCAGACTAATTAATGTGGTTATTTAATCTCCGAAATTTATAGACATTCATGTTTTTTTACCCGAAACTAATTGAGTGTTACTAAATTTTACCTACAAATGAATCTTATTAATTAGCTTCGAACACGCAGATGAAATAAGTGGAGTGTTACTAAATTTTGCTTCTTTCTTATGTAAATTGTTCACTCCGTTAATGTCATAGAAGCCACGTAAACTAAAAATCAAAA